ATTAAAGAAAATGCTCATATAATTTTGTTTGTCGAAATAAAGAAAATTTCATTAAAATTAAAAAAATGTTCATTATTTTGAAATCACGAACATGTTTTTACAAAATTCACTTTTTGTTGAAATTTTGAACTTTTTTAAATTGTGAATTATGTTTAAAAAACGGAAAGAAAAATAGTAAAAAACAAATTAGAAAAACTGAGGCGTTCAGCCCTGCTCATGGGCCAGCCCACTAGGGGCGCACGGGAGCGGAGGGGTGCGCCGGCCCACAAGGGGCGCACGGGAGCGGGAGGGGGGCGCGCTGGCATGTTCGTTCTCGAGTTGCACGTACACGCTTACTTTTTTTTAGGAAAGGAGAAGCAAGCGAATTGGGCCCTCGATGGGCTGTTATGTTTAGGCCAACTCCACCGCGCGACCCTATCCTGTCCGGCCCCGTCCGTTTAGGGTAAAAGGGACAAAAAAGGCGGCCCAGCGTGCGGAAGCAAACGAATTTTTGTCCGCTTTGTGTCCACTTTCGATCCATTCCCGGCCCAAACTTGCGCTGCTTTTTGGGTGAAACGGACACCACGCGGACACGCGGGTCGTCTGCGCGTGTCCTCCCCTGGCCCGCCCATCGGTGGCACAAGACGGGCCTTTTTCTATCCGCCCCCCTCCCTCCTTCCGGCCGCACCCCCTTCACTCTTCCCCACTCTTCCCGTCGTTGCCGCCGCCGTCGCTGCCATTGCAGCCGTGCAGTTCGGACGCGAGCTTGCCCAACCCCTTCCCCTCGGCGCCGGGCTCGGACGCGACCACGGCCACTTGGTTTGCGCACCCGCCGGCCGGTTTTGGGGCGAATCCGATCGGTCTTGAGCTCGGCCGGCTGTGGGAGGCCGGGCCGCGCATGGACTGGCCGGGCACCTCGCCGAAAGGCCCTGGAAGGGCCGCAAGGCCACGTGCAGGCAGTGGCTCCTCCTCTAGCCGCTCGGATCTGCACCGTCGATGGTCCGCCGGCAGATACACGAATGGTAGTCGGCCGGGCTCAGTGCTTGCCCAAAAGTTCGCCGGCGCACCGTTGCCACTCATTAAGTGCGACCACTGCCCAAGGATGGTCGTGCGTCGCGTGTCTACAACGCCGGAACATTCCGGATGGGTGTTCATCAAGTGCTTAAACGATGGGGTATGCGCTTTTTTTAGCTTCGGTTTGTGCTCTAGATTTAACTAGTTGTGCTAACTTCAAATTTTGTTGTGTAGAACGGATGCAAGTTTTGGTATCGGGAAGAAGAGTACATTGATATATTGATAGAGCGAAATTTAGTACATGTTCATGCACTTTTAGCTAGCATAGAAGCTGTAAATGAGACAAGTGCACTTGTTGCTAGATTAGAGGCTAGACACGAGACTAGGTGTGAGGAGGAAGCAACATCGACTTCTGCCTTGAAGAAGAAAGGAGGATGCTAGATCGAGCCTCCTCTTCCACAGATCAACAACGAGTGCATCGAGAAGGCCCTAACCCAACTCAAGGGAGTAGTTATGGAAGTTGGGTGTCTTCTAAAATGTATTCTTGTGGTTCTTGTTTTTTTGATCTTGCTTTGTTAGTCAAAATGTGATGATGTATTTTTCTTGTATCAAAAATGAATGATGAAATAAAGTTAAAGACTTGTAAAGAAATAATACGCGGACAAGATGCGGCCGGGATGTGTCCGCGCGCTAGGCGCACGGCCACCGCATCCCAGGACAGGTCCAGACACGGCCCCAAATTCCTACTCAAAGGGACAAAAACCGGAGAAAACGAACGTCCGTTTGGGATCGCGCGGTGAAGTTGGCTTATGAAAGAAGGAGAACCATCAAGTCGGGCACGGATATTTTGGATCACCGACCCAGCAAGGCAGCAAAGCCTACCGTTTCGCTTGTCTCTCGGCCATCCCATAGAACCCCAATCCCCAAACCGAATACTTCGCTCCCCAGATCAAGAAAGAATCCTTCGCCCCCCGAGAGCTTTTTACGCGTCTCCGCCGACGCCGAAGCCGACGAAACCCTAGCGTCGAGATGTTGTCGGCGAAGGAGAGCCCGAGTTCTCGACACGCCCTTCCCGGCGACTGCTATCCCGGCCATCTGCCCATCTCCGAAATCCCCACAGATCTTTTTGGTCCCTTTCCCCGGCATCTCCATGAGACTCGCGAGGAGGCCCCCATCGATGTGTTTAGATTCGAAATCGCCCCAGATCTATTCGGCTCTACCCACCATCGTCTCCTTGATGCGTTCGAGGAGGAGGAAGAGGAGGAGGAGGAGGAGGAGGCGGCGGTGGTGTTGGCGTAGAAGAAAGAGAGAGGGTTCCTCGAGAGCGGTGAGTATTACCGCCTAGCTTCTCTATGTTTTCTACTTCCTCTGTTCCTAAATACTACAAGTCTTTTTAGAGGTTTCGATAAGAACTACATATGATGGATATAGACATATTTTAGAGTGTAGATTCACTCATTTTGCTCCGTATGTAGTCCGTATTGGAATATCTAAAGGACTTGTATTTAGAAACGGAGGGAGTAATAATCTTTTGCGCCGATTTAGCTAGGCTTCCTATCGATCAAACTTTTGGGTAACCGCGCAGAATCAGAGTCTGAGTCCGAGTTCCTTAACTGGGACGACATTCCCGTGCGTGATCCTGTTGATGGCCTCAACTTGTCCGACTTGATGGATTACGATCCGCTGGCACTGGATGCCGACGACGAGGAGACAAACTGCCCAGGTATATAATTTTTGCAGATTAGATACCACTTTCGTCATGTGTCCAGATAACGAAAAACGGTTAACTGGTCAGTCGATCCTACACTGATTTGTTTTCTCAGGGAAGAAATTTCCGGTGGCAGCAGCAACAAAAGTAGACGACATATGGAGTTGGATTTACACCAGACGGAACATCGCGTACCAGAAGAAGTGTGAGGAGATTGAAGCAAGTGAAGATGAGAATGCCACATTTCCTTCTTATCCTCTCAAAATACTCCCTGAGGCAACAGGTATATGTGTCATGAGGGGCTTTTGCCACCACCGTGAATATAAAACCCATGATACTTCCACTGGTAAGCTTGTCGATCTCATTCATTCCTAGCTAACCCAGCGATTAATCTGCGACTGTGATCTACCTATGTTTGTTATAACAACTTTTGCTATCACTATATTTTGCAGCTAGATCAACTCTTGGGTTACGTGATCCAAGACTGATGCTGCAGATCTTCGCGATGCATTTATCAATCTCCGAATCCTATTCCTACCCCGTTAGCGTCTATGGAATTGTTGCTGTTCGGGATGCCTTGGAGCCACTACGGAATCTTGTGTTTAACCGTCCCTGCAGAGATAATGCTTTTATGGTTGACCAGGTAATTGATCGAGCTAGGCTTGTTCTGTTTCCATGTAACTTTTCAGTTGCTAAAAACAATACTGGATGCAAACAGTGCATGTGAGATTTTTGTCGTACTGATTCTTCATTACCTGGTTGGATCCACTAAAAGGAAATTGCGTATGCATTTAGTTCTCCATTTTCTGTGTAAATGGTATAATTATACATTTGCGGTAATTTTGTGATTTGTTCTTTTTGTTATCCCTTTCATTATGGTCGACAAAAAGGGCCACTGAATCTTGACTACCTGTACCAATAATTGCACTATGCTGTGCTGTCACCCCTTTCAGTATGTTCTCCGACGTCAACACGCTATCAGTTCCATGCCCATCAGATCCCGCAAACTTTATATGATTGTGCTGCCAAAAGCATGGAAAAGTAGTCATGTTTGATTATCCTAACATAATTATAAAATGTTTACTCTATTTCTTTATTACACAAGTTGTGTTTTGACTCCCTGCAAAGCAACACATATTTCTCTACGCACAGGCATTAACATGTTATGGAGTCCTGGAATTCTGATCTAGTTGTAACTTGTAACATCAATAGCACATGAAACTAGTCATCTTCTGATTTACAAGGCATATTTTTTTTACCAACTATGCATAGGGTGCTTAGAAGGTTCTAGATCAGACTATATTGGCTAGGGGGAGATGATTATGATATCCCCAGTCTTCCTGTTTTAGGAATTAGGAATTATAGAGATAGTAATACAGGTGAATGGAGTTTTTTTTTTTTTTGCACCCGGGCACAGTTGCCCATTGAATCTGAGCCATCCATGTCTGTCACAGGATAGGTGCCCATTCTTTTAGGAATCACAAATACTAATTAAGTACATTCTCATATAGGCCCACCATGTCATAGTACAGGTTAATCAGCCTTCCTCTCTTGCCCATCCCCTTCTCTCTCACCTCTCCCCATACAGTGAGCTTGGCCATAGGAGCCGCTGCTCCACCAGTCCAGGTGAGTATGGCCTGATCCACCCATCGTCGTGGGAAGACTATGTTCTCACGGCTGTTTGTGTCTTTGAGGTTTGCTCCCGTGGCCTCTGCGTGGTCCTGGTCCACTCTGACAGGACGCGCTGCATAGATCGTCCGGAACCCAATGTGTATGTTGGAGAAAACAATAGAATACGGACTTGTGCTAAATTCATTGTAAGCTCCCACTGTTTACCTATCTCAAACCGCAAGTCCGGTGCTGATGTGGTTTGCACCTGCATCTTTGGTGCACAGAAGCATTTTCCAAGTGTATGTTGAAGAGGGGGTGGCGGTATATATGAGTGAGTGGAGAAAGATTGAAAATGCATGCATGTAAAAGAAATGCCAAACAGTGCCTGGCTTGTACTTTCAAACATAACTAGATTTTAGTCCAAATATGATCATGCATGTCTTGCCGTGTTAATTTTGTTGATATATACTGATGTATCCCAAACTGGGTTTATATATCTTGTTGAGTTCTAATGCTTACTAATATTTTTTAATTGCAGGATTCCTTAACCTTGCCTCTTTGTAGTCCTCGTCGAGGAATGTATTTAGTCAGGGACAGAGCATTACTAGAAGTTGATCTTTGGGTAAAGGAGGAAGGAGATGGGTAATCTGACAAGCAGTTGCTTTCTTTGTATGCTGAGTTTGAGGGGATGTACCAGTTAGATGAAATGCTAGATGGAGAGGTTAGTAGTGACCTTGGCAGCTTGGTCATCGACTATCTCTTGCTTGATGAGAGTGTTGAGGCTGTAATACAAGTCTCTGCAAAGATTGACTGCCCTCATCATATGAGATTCACTGCATTCACTAGTGGCTTTGATGGTGAGATTGTGCTGTTTGACGATAAGTTCTCTGGGAATGGAAAACTGTTCCAGTATGTTGTCGCGGTGAAGGCTGAGGGGAAATTGGACATTTGCTTAAAATTGGAGGAATCATTGTTTTGGTGGACTTTCCAGGAAGGAGCTGTTGGAGCTGTTAGGTTCCCTGATGACTCGGTTTTGAATTACGGGCAGTTTGAGGTGACGGTGCTTTTTGCTCCTAAGAACTTTACAATGGCTGGCTGACCTGAAGCAAACTGAACAAGACATACAGTTCTGTAATATCCGTGTTCTTTATCTTCTATAGTTTCTCTGTAACTTAATATAGTACATGGTCTATGCATGGCTAGGCGGCGCCACTGGAGACGCTCCTCCGCATGAAGCCGGAGCCCGTGTCCCCTCTGCTCTCCCCTTGGCCCTAACGAATTTGAAAAAAAAATCATGAATTCAAATAATCTTCACAAATTCAAAAATGTTCATAATTCATTAAATATGCATGAATTATAAAAATCTTTCAAATATAAAATATGTTCACAAAATACAAAAGAATTCACGAAATTTAAAAATGTACATATATTAAAAATTCATGAATTTTATAAAAATTTCACGGATTGAAAGGACGTTTGTGGAATGAAAACACATTAATGAAATAAAAAAACGCACACCTATTTGAACAAAATTAAGAAATGTTTGCGAATTTGGAAAAAACATGGATTTAAAAAATGTTTGTCAATTCAAAAAAAGTTCATAAATTTGAAGAAAATTTTAACAAATGCTAAAAAGTTCATCGATTTGAGAGAAGGTCATGAATTGTTTTTTTTAAGTAAAAGTAAAACATAACGAAAAATGAAAATATGAAACAAGAACTGGGTGTAAAATTCGAGCAATGAAACAAACCGGTACAAAAGAAAGAAAGAAATACAGCCGGATGCTTGTGGAAGCTCAGAAAACGTGAAGAGAGGTGTGGAGCTAGATGGGCTGGACTGTTATATTCATGTCGCTAGGTGTCGTGGGCGCCCTGCACGCTATTTGGACCCCTCAAAAGCTGTGGTTGTAGGGTCAAGAGAACAGTGGCATACTAGCTCACCAAATTTCTTTTTTTTTAAAAAAAACGGGGCAAAAGATTTGCCATTTTCATTGATTAAGAAGAAGAGAATTGCACGGTTAATTAACGGAAAACCGAGCTAAAACCGATACAACTCAACCCACGTGACATGGGCACCACCGGCCAACTTGGCCACCGACATGGGACACAAAGCTGCAAAGAAGAAAAGCATTCGTCGAGGAGTCGCAAGCGTCATCGTCATCACCGGTTGCCTCGAACGAGCGACTCCGACTTCACCATTGAGCTCCAACCGCGAAGCCAACCCGCAAACAGCCGCATAGAAGCCACGACGGCACATGCCACCAGATGGCCACACGCGCAAGCAGCCGACAGTTCCGACTTTGACGACGAGCCTCACCAGGAAAATATGCAGGACTTGCGCCGACCGTGCCCTCAAAGCACCTCGGACACGCCGGGAAGAGCCGACTACCGAAGTCCACGCCGCGACCCGAGCTCCTCTCGACGACATCATCGTTGCCAAACAGAAACCAGCGCCCCGCCTCAGCAAACTACACGGCGAAGATGCCGCCATCCACGACGAAGATGCCGCAATCCACCAGTCTCCCAGTCGTAGCCGGCTCCGAGACGATGCCCCCAAGGAGGAGAAAGACGCGAAGACGCCTCCATCGCCCGACCCAGCGAATCTGAGGTTTCCCTCCGAAGCCAAAGCCGTGGGGAGAAGGAGCACACCTCCACGGCGACGCTTCCAAAAAAGATCACGGCACCTGCGGGCACCGCCGTCGCCGGCTCCGAAGAAGGCCGGAGCAAAGATTTCTCCCGAAGATGCGCCGACCACCTACCACCACCGACCGCCACCCACCAGCCACCACCTGCTGAGGCCGACCTCATTCTTGCCACGGGATCCCACGATCCACCGCGACCAGACACGCACCACCCCCTGGCCGAAGCCGCCGTCCACCACCGTAGCACCACCGTAGCCACCTCCACCGCAGCAACCCACGCCGCATCGCGAAGCGCATCACCCAGATCGATGCACCTTGCACCAGATCCAATCGGAGCTGCACAGGCGAAGCAGCAGAGAAGACGAGCAGGATCTCCCTCCGCAGCACACCTCGCACTCCAGAGGAGCACACCCGCCACGCCAGCTGGTCACCGCGCCCGACGCACGCATGCAACCACCGCGCCCGGCCAGTCACCGCGCCCCACGCGCACAGCCGGATCCGAGCCGCCGCTGCGCGAGCGCGCGCCGTCCACACCCCGGCCACATCAGGAGCCCGGACCGAGGCCGCTGCCCCGGCGCCCCACTCGCCGCCCGCAAGAGGCACGACGCCGCTCCGGCCGCCGCCCTCCGCCCGACGTCGCCCCGCTCAGAGATCCCCCGCTCGTGAGAGGAGCCGCCCGCCGCGAGAAAAGGAGCCCCGCCGCCGCCTGCTCCATGAGAGCTTTGCCCGCAGGAGGCGCCGGCGACGGCGAGGGGTGGGATTGGGTGTGGTGGCCGGAGGCCTTGGCGATTTGGTCGCCGCCCGTGTCGCCCCTGGGGAGGGAGCGACACGAGGGCCTTTTTTACCTTAATGTTCTCCCTCCGCAGCACACCTCGCACTCCAGAGGAGCACACCCGCCACGCCAGCTGGTCACCGCGCCCGACGCACGCCTGCAACCACCGCGCCCGGCCAGTCACCGCGCCCCACGCACACAGCCGGATCCGAGCCGCCGCTGCGCGAGCGCGCGCCGTCCACACCCCGGCCACATCAGGAGCCCGGACCGAGGCCGCCGCCCCGGCGCCCCACTCGCCGCCCGCAAGAGGCACGACGCCGCTCCGGCCGCCGCCCTCCGCCCGACGTCGCCCCGCTCAGAGATCCCCCGCTCGTGAGAGGAGCCGCCCACCGCGAGAAAAGGAGCCCCGCCGCCGCCTGCTCCATGAGAGCTTTGCCCGCAGGAGGCGCCGGCGACGGCGAGGGGTGGGATTGGGTGTGGTGGCCGGAGGCCTTGGCGATTTGGTCGCCGCCCGTGTCGCCCCTGGGGAGGGAGCGACGCGAGGGCCTTTTTTACCTTAATGTTCTGATCCAAATTTCAGACGCGAGGGAGCGACGCGAGGGCCTTTTTTACCAAATTTCAGTGTCTCAAAAAAAAAAGCTCACCAAATTTCAATTCACTAGTGTTCGCAGTTTCCTTTATTTATATCAGGTCTTCCGGTTATGTTTGGGAGCAGATGTTCATGTCGACTACGAAAGCGTTTGTGCCGACTTCGTCAATCTCAAGATAATGTGTCGGCTTAATCTTTTAGAGGTGCTCATAGGGTAGGATGAGTGTGCGTGGGTTTACAGTGATGAGTGTATGTGTGTATGTGTGTATGTGCCTGTATTGTGATAAAAAAATGGTACCAGTTCAGTATTTGATATTTTGGTGCATATTGGTACCAGTTCAGTGTTTTCTGATAAGACAAACAATTCGGTGATTCCTCCAAAAAAAAGAAACAGTACAGTGATGACCTGTTCAGTTTGCATAGTCTGTAGTGGATCGCCGAGATGGATAGATGGTGACCACCTTTGCCTATTGGGCTGTTCCTCTCATTCCGCCTTCTTGATGACGAAGCTAGATGAGGCATGGGCCGAGACCTTCGAGCTGCCGTTGCAAACGGGCGCAACGCAACATGGGCGCGAGCCGTGCACCCGAAACTTGGAAAGCGAGGTCTCCCCCCTATCCATCCACCATGTCGCCAATCGGTGCAGCCTCTGTACCGTGCGCATTCGTGGGCACGGCCGATGTGTTCCAACGTTTGTGCAAGATGCACCGACCCTTGCGTAGTTACCAGACTTCCTTGAGATATCATATATAAGTTCCCTACCTACCTATACTACTCCTGTAGATCGATCCAGCCGTACGAAGGAGCGGAAAAGAGTTGCTGTCTGATACAGTCACGCTATCCGTTGCCGTTGGCGTCTCGGTCTAGCGTGGTACCCGGTGATACTGATGAGATTTGACTTGGGGAAATATACAGTCTATTATTACTACTACAAATCTCAGTAAACTTACATCTAATCAGAAGCATGCATGCATCCGGCCGACAGTAGATGAAAGGGAAGTGGGTAGAACCGCAGTCCATCAGTGATACACAACCTGACAAATCTTGAAACACAGAACCGAAACGACGACGAGACACAAGGCTGACGGGCTGAGCGGCAGCTACTCCGGAGGCACCAGTTGTATATATCGGCCACTTTTTACGCAATTTTTTCGATGCAGATACAAGTAGCATCCATGCTTTACTCGACACGTTTTAACTGGCTCAGATCCTAACAGAGGTGGATGGAGACTGCCACCATCGCCACGAGTTTCGCCTAGGAAAGAAACACCACTAAAGAAGATCGATTAAACATTAAGAAAGCTTCACATTTCCCATGCATGTGGAAACCTCCGACTTATCTTCGTTCTGGTTGGAAAAGGAGAAACTTTCCATTTTTTTAAGAAAAGAAAGGAAAAGGAAGACGAAGCAGAGGTGTTCATTCCTTCAACAACAAGCGTACGCCATGAACTCGCACGCCTTTTTCCCTAACAACTACGTATTCGGGTGATATCTGATGATATCTGGCCATCACAATGGATAAGATCTCTAGTTGTTCTCAATTAATCCTGACACCGACAATAGCAAATCCTCCCAAATAATTGAACCGATCTCGGCACCAATGAAAACGGAATTGCACGCACGACTATGACCGAATCCTGCACACGAGCAAGCTCATCTACAAAGACAGGAAGGAACATCGCATTCCAGAACAAGATCGCCATCTCGTTCCAAGAAACATCATGTCAAAGCTGTCACCGCAACCACCGGCGCAGAGACCTATCCGATGCGACCGAAAATGGTTTCGGCTCAGAACGCTGGAGGATCTGGGCGTTCCCATGCAACTTGCTTCTCAGGGACCTCATCCGGAAACGCAATAGTTTAGCAGTGCCGTGTCGCGGCCAGTGCCCAAATTATATGCGCTCCCGAGGATTGCGTACAGACATCCTTTTCTTAAGCTGAAATGACAGCTCCATCTGTAGGTCTACTGAGGGGCATGCCCACATCGACGACAGCTCAGAAAACTTAGCCGGCAAAAACAAGAGAAAACAGGGCTGACACGGTCGGATCCTTCATGGATTTGAATCAAATTTATCTGTGTTTCCCTAGAGGTATCTT